TGTTTGTTTACTCGAAATTTTTTGTTCTGTACATTCTAGTATGTATATTTTGCATAACAAAAGTTGAATTTCAAAAACCGTGTATTGTTAACAAAACTGTAAGTAGCAAGTGCTGTGACAATAAAACCATATTTTGAACAAATAGACCAAGGTTATGCGCAGAATTCAACAAAATTAATAAGAAAATAATTATTATTTTTTTAATGCCAAGGCCAAAACAGTTAAGGCCAAGGCCAAAATTTTCAAAGCCAAAGCCAACAGTTTCAACACCAAGGCCTCAATTTTCGGCCTTAAGGCTAGGACTAACAACTCTGGACCAAAGACCAGAACTATAAGACCAAGGAATAACAACTCTGGTTTACAGTGAAAGTTTTTGTTTTTATCAGCGACTCAAAGAATTATGATCTAATTTTTAAGACCAATTTTCACTGATTTTTTTTTTTTTTTTTTGTTTTGAAATATTTGGTTTTTGCTGGCAAAAGAAAATTAATAGACGAAAGGGGGAGGGCCTAATATCTTGGGGTGGGTGGGAAAATCTTCCAAAAATTAATAAGCGCCTCACCCCCTCCTTTTATTAAAGACTCGAGAGTAAAACTGTTAACCAGTTTATATCTTGAAAACCTCTATGCAAGAAATAAACTCTTTTATATGAGGTGCTGAGAGTCAGAGTGATATAACCCTCATTTTTTTCAATATGCAGTTTATGGTCTTGTGAGGGATTCGAAACATTTTACTGTGCCACCCACACTTTCTATTTCAGTATTCTATGCTTAAACCACTTTATTGTTAACTATTTTTAATGACTTAATAATTTTCTAAATAAGATTTTCTTATAATAAGTCGTAGCGAGGTTAGGCTACTCTGGCCTCAACGCTATATATAGGCAATTCCGCGAGAGTAGCGGTCGTAACATTTGACGTTCTTTAAGCTGTTAAAAATGAACTAAAAATGAAAATGACTTGAAACTTTCCAGAAATGTGGAATACTATTATATAATTTAGTATGCAAAAGTTACAGTATTGAAGTCTCAAACTTTTTTCAAAAATTAACTCTGCGTAGCGTGACGGTCGTAACATTTACTTTTTACCACTTTTGAACAAATTAACTTTGCCAGACTAATTGCAGCGAACGTTATGGTAAAAAAAAAATCATTTGGTGGGCGTATTTAGCACATATTGATGTTATTATATGCTGAGTTTCATAGTTTTTACTTGATGTTTTATAAGCACTTGTCTTGATGGTCGTAACCGTGACGGTCGTAGCGATAAATCTTATTTTTTAAAAACAACAAATAAAACAACCAAAAAAAAAGATGAATAATTATAAAAATCATGTAAAAGTATAAACTTAATAACATTATTAAAGTTAAAAAATATGTTTTTTTGATACTGGGTTCGTTAAATTTGAAATAAGCAACTAAAGGTATGCTGCTGTATTTATTTATACTTTATTACTTTATTTAAGTTTAAATGGTTAATGCTCCCTGTTCCCAACGTAAGTTTATAAAATGATTTTTTCAGAAAACTAAAAATATTAATTTTAACATTGTTTTACAAGCCCGTTAAAAAATATTCGTCAATTTTGAAATCAAAAACTTTTTATTTTTTACTTGCCAGAAATGCATTTTAGTAATATTTTTAACGGCTTTTATTTCGTAAATTTGGTAATATAACTTTTTTATATAATCAATGCAATAGAAGTCAAATACTTCACTTAAATAAGTAGTAGTGGCGCGCTTTGTTTTATCATTATCAGAGCTGTGAGTCGGAGTTGCGGAGTTGCAACATTTTTAGTGGAGTCGGAGTCGCTAAACAAATCGCGACTGCGACTCCAGTAATAAAACTTCTCGGTATTGTATGTGCATGTACAAAACATGCAATTAACCCTATATTCATACTAAACCTCAAAGAACGTTTCATAAATTTGTCAAAAAAGAAATTTTTATCTTATTGCGTAATATTTTTTAAAGAATTCAAAGAATTTTTCAAAAATTTTGCTTTGGAGTTGGAGTTACAGTCGGAGTCGGAGTTGTACTCAAAAAATTTCAACAACTGGAGTCGGAGTCGTTACTTTTTTTTTACGACTTCACACCCCTGATCATTATCATCGGATATTATTACAACCGATTTTGGTTCTAATTGGTAACGATAGATAACAACTGTAAACAGAGTAATAGTAGACTAGGACCAATAAGCAGCTTGAACAGCATCCTGATAGCCACATGTTTAGTTTTGTGAATAATCAAAGTGTATCAAATTTGGTCTGGTTCGAGATTTTCTTTTTGACTACGGTGTTGCTCAGACTGGTGCTTTTTAGTTGAATGATGATCAGTAAAATCTAGTAAATAGTCGCAGAAATGTTTATAAACGTCTTTTATGTGTTTTTTTATGCTTACTGAGTACACAACAGTTATCATCTTTTATCCACCAACTATAGGTGATGATTGGATCTATGTCTCCGTTTTCGGGCAAATCAAGTTTAAATAATTTACAATCACTACACAAAGAATATTTCATTATCCAACATCGGGATGTAGGTGGCTTGCTCAATACATATTTTTCTAACCATTTATTGCATTACAATGGAAATTTACTTGCCAAAGCAGCACACAAATAAGTAAAATTACTGTGATAAATACAACCACATGATTCAAGTGGTGTGTCTTTGCATGTAACAATGTATCTAGGCCTAAGTTCACAAAATTTAGTTAATTTAACATTTTTGCTGGCATTCTCTTTACGATACAATTGATGCAGCTCCTTTAAATTTATAACTAAATAAAATTTAAACTAAACTAAATAGTGCCTTTGAACCTTTTCTCCGTCAATTTTGGTACAATCTTTTCTTCCAGGAGACATTATTGATATATCTTTTCTTTAATAAAAAGCTTTTACTTTTTTAATTTCTTCTGATGTGATGCGAACTCGGGTGGTTTCTTTAGTAGTGCATAAGCCATATTCAGTACCTAACTGCTCTACAATAGTTTGGAGACTTGTTTTGTAGAACCTGTTTTGTCCTAAAAATTGTGTTTAATATAAATTTAATATTTAAAAAAAAACCCAAATTATTTGAAAGCAATAGCAATTGCCCCCTTTAAAATAGGACAACTTGCCCCACAGGGGGTAGAGAAGGTTTGACCTAAATAACTTTTTATCCTTGCCGTGAATCTGAAAAATGACTAGCACACCAATAAAAGAATTTCCAAAACTATAAACATTTTAATGTATTAAACACAAATATTGCATATTGTTACTGTATTGAACATTTGAACAAAAAAGTTAAAAAGTTACTTACCAACGAAATTTTTACTTTTTTTGGATTTGTAGAAAAACTATTCGCGCGAATTTCATGAAATCAACTGAGCAGTCATCTTTCAGCACCATTTATATAATATAAAAAAATCGCAGCATCAATCCAGCTATAACATTCCGAAATAGCAACTATGACAACTAACCCTTATGACTTTAAGCCCCGCTCTCCCCTAACATTAAAAACTATAATTTAATACTTGTTTAATACTTTTGTCATTGACGATTTGCATTTATAAGGATTATCAGGCGTAACATTTAAACTGATGTTAGCAGTGAATTCAAGTTTTTTTTTCATTCTTAACCTTTGGTTGCGAACTTTCGCTTGATTTTTTTGCTTGTTTTCTTTTCTTGGTGTTAATAACTGTCTTCTTTGATAACTTCTCTTTCTTTCTTTTTCTTGTAACGCTTTTCTATTTCTTGCTCTATAAGCTTTAGATCTTTCAGCATCTGATTTAGGCATTTAAAAATTCTTTATTTTATATAACAGCTTCCCTTTTAGATTGACGTTCTGCTACGATTTAAAAAAAAAATGCGAAGTTTATCAATAAAAAATAATAATGAGTAAACAAACTGATAATGAAACAAAATTGATTTTTTACTTGGTTTCAATAATAAGATTGTTCGCGCTTATTTTTTTTCTTGACTTTTTTCAAAAGTTAAGAAGCTGTTATGGAAAAACAAACATAGCGTGATGGTCGTAACGTACTTTGTTACATCTTAATACTATCATCTAAAGCTCTCTTAAAAAAAAAATTGAAACGTTGATAAAACTTGTATCATTATCTTTACTTTTAATATATTTGTAGTTTTATTAAGTATGATCCAAAGCATATATATATATATATATATATATATATATATATATATATATATATATATATATATATATATATATATATATATATATATATATATATATATATATATATATATATATATATATATATATATATATATATATATATATATATATATATATATATATATATATATATATATATATATAAACAGCATTTATTTAAATTTATATAAAACATTTTAAGTATGTCAAATTATACTACAGTTATGAAAAACAAAAACTTAGGAGTGATTACTCGAAATTTTATTTCCTTTTATCAGAGGCAATTTTTAAAGGCGATTTTTTTAAAAATATGGTGAGAGCAGTCCAATGCTAAATTATTATATATTAAATTTATGTCACACTGGTAAAAAAGAGGTAAAATCATGGTTAAATTATGTGGCCGGGGCTAACCTCCAATTTTGAAACATGTCTTTTTTTTCTAACATTTTTTCTTTTATGTTTAGAATATTATTAAGATATAATTACTTTTTTACACAATAATTACTCTTTCGTTTCTAATTCGATAGATGAATGTTTGAACTTTAAAAAAAAGTCTTTTGATACTTTGTTTTCTGTTAGCACATGTGTACAATCTATACTTTGCTTAAATGGCTACCCGACTCTCCTTTATAAATTTATTGTTACTTAATTCTGCAAATTATAAAAATGTATAAAATTCTTATTTCAAAAATATAAAAAATTAAACCCTGAAAATAAAATTCACTTATTGTTCTGCTTTTTTTTTTTTTGGTTTCTAGGATTGCTCAAATAATTTTTTTTTTTTTTCGTTTCTAGGATTGCTTAAATAACTTTTTTTGTAAATTGAATAAGTCAAACCTTTTATTTAGGTTTTTCTTTGGAGAAAAAAACTCAATTTTCGTTAAGCCGACCTTTCAAAATTCAGTGATTATCGACATTGATATGAGAACTAGTGTAAAACGATTGAATAAATATAATTTATTTATTTAATTTTTTTGTTTTTGTAAATATCAAATCAAGTAACAAATATATAAATATTGATTTGTTTATTATACTTTCCATTTTTTGTTTATTTTTATCAGAATATACGATTATATTTTGGTAGTTCTAAAAATTCTACGCGTTTGTATGTTTATATATATTTTATTATAATAGTATATAATTTCTATTATAATAGAAATATAACAAAAGTAATTGTTTGGATAAATTGCGGTTATTCCAAACTTCAACCCTCCTTAAAACAGTTTTGTGTCCCCTTCTCTTAATTTTATAAATCTGAAATACAAACTTTAATAGTCAAAGGAAAGCAGAAAAAAATTAGAGCGTACTACTATTGGAGACATGGTGTTGTACTAACGACATGTTACGTATTCAAAAAAGTATTTTAAAACCTCATAAAATTCAATAAGATGCAATAAACTGATACTATCCATAATTAGTAGTACTAATAATTGAACTCTCATTACTTAGAAGCTCCTCGTGATTTTCAATTATTTTAAGAACCTTTATGGAAATCAAATTGTGATGTTACTAAATATATTTATATACGTCGTCAGATTTTCTTTGTCAAATCTTGTTATTTAGACTTTAACAAATATTAAATTATATTTACTATATTTCAGCATGCAAAAGACAGCTCCGATGTTTTTAGTCATTTGTCTTATATAAACATTGTACATAATAATTACAATATCCGTCATTTTCTACAGAAAATTTTGAAGCCTGCGTTCGTTTAAAACAGACTTCAAAATGATTATTCACCGCAAATTTTTTTGTGTGTGATTTAAAGGTGGAACTTAATTTTTAGTTTGTTTGTTTCGCCGTTTGAAAATGTTTACAATGTACAACAATAATATAACAGAAGAAGGCATGAACTAGGAATATGTTGATTTTAAACACATTTAATGCATTGAGTTTGCGTAGAAGTGGCTCACAAGGCACAGTTCTTGTTGCTCCAAATACGATTCTACATGCATGTTCTCGTTTAGTATAAATTTTTTTAACTTAACGCAGTTGGTACTTGCCCATATAACTACAGGGATTATCTTTTTTCGGAGTTCCGGGTATTTTTTTAAACTTTTAGTTTTTCCAGATATCCAAATACATGCAAGTTGGAGTATATTTTTTTGTAATATATTTATTTTTTAAGCATAATCACTCATCACTTAAAAAAAGTTATGAAAAAATTAGAAACAACTTAACTAAAAGCGAAATTAAAAAGAAAATTAGGGAAAACAAATTCCGGATTTTTTTTCCAAACCATTTTCCGGATTTTTAAAATATGACTAGGATAATCTATGTAACTACCGTAAGTTAAAAAGCTATGCATAAAGGAAAAATATAAACTTTTTAAAGATCTTATATCTAAAAATGGTTTTGCTTTATACATCATTGCAATGTTTATTGAAATTTTCTTTCAAGAGTGCTCATATGATATCCTCCGTGATAAACTTTCGTCTAAAATAACACCTAAGAAGTTTACCGTTTGTCTAGTAATATTGACATTAATTTTAAAATGAGGTAATTTTAAAAAAAAGTTTCCTGTTTTGGTTGGTTTGTAAAAAATAAACTAAGATTTGAAAGTTTATTACAAATAAAACATTCGTTTACTTTGTTTACTTCTTCATTAATTACTTTAAAGAGGATTTTAATATTCCTACGAGAATAAAACAGATTGGAGTCATCCGCAAACAAAATAAAATTTAATAAGTTTGAGATAGATAGAGAGATAGATCATTTATATAAAGAGAAAACAGTAACGGTCTTAAGATTGAACCTTGAGAAACTCCACATTTTATTATACTTTCTGTCGTTTTAACATTTCCATATTGAATATATTGCTGTCTGTGGTTGTCTAATGTTATTGTGGTTAGTCTATTACACAAACAAATAGTCAAATACAACTTTTTATAAGCATTATTTATCTCTACCGATTGCATTATAAGATCCTAATCAACGTTATATTTTAAAGTGCTAAATTTTTTGTAAGGAATATTTATTGATCTGCCGCCTGTATATTATAGATTTATAAGAAGAAATTTCAATTGTTATATTATTATCAATTGTTATATTATTATCAATTGTTATATTATTATCAATTGTTATATTATTATCAATTGTTATTAGTTATCAATTGTTATTTGTTATCAATTGTTATATTATTATCAATTGTTATATTATTATCAATTGTTATATTATTATCAATTGTTATATTATTATCAATTGTGATATTATTATTAATTGTTATTAGTTATCAATTGTTATATTATTATCAATTGTTATATTATTATCAATTGTTATATTATTATCAATTGTTATATTATTATCAATTGTTATATTATTATCAATTGTTATTAGTTATCAATTGTTATATTATTATCAATTGTTATATTATTATCAATTGTTATATTATTATCTATTGTTATATTATTATCAATTGTTATTAGTTATCAATTGTTATATTATTATCAATTGTTATATTATTATCAATTGTTATATTATTATCAATTGTTATATTATTATCAATTGTTATATTATTATCAATTGTTATTAGTTATCAATTGTTATATTATTATCAATTGTTATATTATTATCAATTGTTATATTATTATCAATTGTTATATTATTATCAATTGTTATTAGTTATCAATTGTTATATTATTATCAATTGTTATATTATTATCAATTGTTATATTATTATCAATTGTTATATTATTATCAATTGTTATATTATTATCAATTGTTATATTATTATCAATTGTTATTAGTTATCAATTGTTATATTATTATCAATTGTTATATTATTATCAATTGTTATATTATTATCAATTGTTATATTATTATCAATTGTTATATTATTATCAATTGTTATTAGTTATCAATTGTTATATTATTATCAATTGTTATATTATTATCAATTGTTATATTATTATCAATTGTTATATTATTATCAATTGTTATATTATTATCAATTGTTATTAGTTATCAATTGTTATATTATTATCAATTGTTATATTATTATCAATTGTTATATTATTATCAATTGTTATTAGTTATCAATTGTTATATTATTATCAATTGTTATTAGTTATCAATTGTTATATTATTATCAATTGTTATATTATTATCAATTGTTATATTATTATCAATTGTTATATTATTATCAATTGTTATTAGTTATCAATTTTTATATTATTATCAATTGTTATTAGTTATCAATTGTTATATTATTATCAATTGTTATATTATTATCAATTGTTATATTATTATCAATTGTTATATTATTATCAATTGTTATATTATTATCAATTGTTATATTATTATCAATTGTTATATTATTATCAATTGTTATATTATTATCAATTGTTATATTATTATCAATTGTTATTAGTTATCAATTGTTATATTATTATCAATTGTTATATTATTATCAATTTTTATATTATTATCAATTGTTATTAGTTATCAATTGTTATATTATTATCAATTGTTATATTATTATCAATTGTTATATTATTATCAATTGTTATATTATTATCAATTGTTATATTATTATCAATTGTTATATTATTATCAATTGTTATATTATTATCAATTGTTATATTATTATCAATGGTTATATTATTATCAATTGTTATTAGTTATCAATTGTTATATTATTATCAATTGTTATATTATTATCAATTGTTATATTATTATCAAAAGTTATTAGTTATCAATTGTTATATTATTATCAATTGTTATATTATTATCAATTGTTATTAGTTATCAATTTTTATATTATTATCAATTGTTATATTATTATCAATTGTTATTAGTTATCAATTTTTATATTATTATCAATTGTTATATTATTATCAATTGTTATTAGTTATCAATTTTTATATTATTATCAATTGTTATTAGTTATCAATTTTTATATTATTATCAATTGTTATATTATTATCAATTGTTATTAGTTATCAATTGTTATATTATTATCAATTGTTATATTATTATCAATTGTTATTAGTTATCAATTTTTATATTATTATCAATTGTTATATTATTATCAATTGTTATTAGTTATCAATTTTTATATTATTATCAATTGTTATATTATTATCAATTGTTATTAGTTATCAATTTTTATATTATTATCAATTGTTATATTATTATCAATTGTTATTAGTTATCAAAAAAGTAGGAAAATGATCTGATAAATCTGTTTTGAATTTACCTGTGAAAAAAGTTCTTATAAAAATTGTTAGTATTTATATTATCTAGTAAAGTAGAAAAATTCCTAGTTATTCTGGCTGGCTTATTTATTGTTGGAATAACATTATGTTGAAGAAGTTTATCAACAAAATGTTTAATTTTATTTGAAACTTGTCTAAACAAGTCCGAATTGATATTGCCGACAACGTAAACATACTTCCTTTCTTTATTGACAGTTAAAAATGTGTTTAAGCAAGAACGTTTAAGGGGCAACTACCCTCAAATTTCAAAACAACACATATAAAGTAACTTTTTCTTTAGTCATCTAGTAAATATTATACTGACATTAAAAATACCAAAAAATACATAAAATGGTAGCTCGTTGCTATGGCAACTCAAAAAAATAGCTAAAAAACCCACAAAAACTGTGTTTACGCCGTAAAAAAAATAAGAATTATGAGTAAAGGAGTGTCAATGAAATTTTGTAGAACTGTTCTAAATATGTAAATTTGTGATATGAGCGAAGCAGATTTTTAAATAAAAATTTTTTTTTGATAAAAAGCTACAGTCAAATTAGATTATTAAAAAAAAGGTCAAAATACAAAGAAAAAAACTAAAAAACTCAAAATCTTAAGTCATATGAGAAATTCTACTCCGCTCATATCATAAACATTGGTAAAATGAACGATCCCTGAAAATTTCATCATGATAGCATGTATACTTTTCAAGATTTTTTTCCCGGCGTGTTTAAAAATTAAATTCTCAGAAAACACAAAACAAAAAATAAAATCATAAATTATTGTTCATTTCATAAAAATATCTTTAAAAAAATAGCTTTTTAAAAGAATATTTCAAAAACTACCAGATTCATAATATTCCTTGGACTTTTCTATTGACTTTTGATGATCATTTGATAATCGTTGACGTCGTAACATCTTTCGTTTCATCTTAAAACTTTCACTCGATTTAAATAATGATAGTTTTATTCGTTTTTTGTTTATGAGTCTGCAACCAGCTAAAGTAAAATGCCCTGGTTTCATATTTAGTTTTTCATAAATTAAAATGACAGACTTCATACCGATGTTATAATTTGCAACAGCATCGTACACTCCAAACTCTAAACTGGCTAAACCAACATAATTACTTTTTGGTAATCTATCCCATATTAAATTATTGAAACTCTCGTTGCAATTCTGGGTTTTGCCATAAAGACACTTTACTAATTCAGAATCTTTACTTAAATCAGCATATATTGGCTTGATTTTGTGAATAATATCCACAGGAATTCCTGGTCCAGGTTTGTATATGGAAGTAGACTTTGCTTTATCAATGTTAAACTTACACCAACTATCACCTCCAGTCGGGCAGTAAATATGATAGTTATTTTCCTTAGAAGAAGCTACATGGAAAAGGCTAGCTAATACTGCTTGTTTCATTTTATTCAGATCATTTGTATTGCTCCGGATAGCTACACCAAAAAAATTTTGCAAGCGATCAATAACTGCATTGGTTAGTCGACCACGACCACCTAGACCCTTAACTTTTTTTTCAACTTGCGTAAGTGAGTACCAACTCGTTTTTGGTAATGTCCTACACACTCCAACTTTTTTACCTCCATATTTGGGTATATATCTTTGATAGAAAGATGGGATTTACTATCCCCATCACCAAGAAATTGAGTATATCTTAAGTCATGTTTTTCGATGGAGCGTTTAAAAACTCTCACTGCGCCAACTGATTCCATACCACCAGCTGTACCTTGATAATTGTACAGGCAAATATGTTTGTTTTTCCAATTAGCATATGCATCAGGATTTGATTTTTTTAATTGTTCTTTCATACAGCAAGCTTTACATGATTTATTCATAGGTTCAACATCAATTATTTTTCCACTATCTATTAAAATTGCGGTAAAAACTCCATTCATTGACTGATATCCTCTTTTCTGCCATGATCCATCGCATGATACACCAACATCAACAATGTCCTCACATCAACATTGTTAATGTGTCCTCATTGAGGACACATTAACAATGAAAGAACTTTAGATAAAATTTCAGTGTCTATAATTCTGTAACCAGTAATTCTTTTAATGTTTTTACTTGGTACATTTGTAACAACTTTTACTTTTTTAGCTGATGCGCCCAAAATATTTCTTTCAATAGAGTCACATTCACTTACATTACATGCATTTTTATTTTTCTTCACCATAAATCCTCTTCTTTTTTTATAGTAATTTGTTCTCTGCTTTACTCTATCATAAATATTTTTGTTCAAAATAACACCCAAATCAGTAGGTTTTGTCATATTTTTTAATTTCTGCTGTTATATAAATTAGCTTTGATAACTTGATAAAATCGTATTAAAGTAGCAATTGTAAATGGCATATAATAAGGAAAAGAATATTAATTAGCAAAGAAGATATAAATCAAAGCATATATTTGAAACAGTACTCCAGGATATGTTCACAAACAAAATATTCGCCCCCATAGCAACGCGTTGCTATGCAAATATTTTTTACTTGAGTTCAAAAAAACATAAATTAAACAAAAATTTATAAAAAAATGTTTGACTTTTTTTGCAGATTCAAAATCTGCATAAAATTTTGGTCTAAAATTATTAAAAAAAAAAAAAAATCAAATTTTTAAAAAAATGTGAGGGTAGTTGCCCCTTAAAATTAGTGATGTGCCGAAGTCACTCTGCCGGTCCGAAGCTTTTGCACTTACATAGGTAAAATTTGCTTTCTTGTAGATCTAATCAGATCATTAGCTAAACATCAAATAGATCATCAGCTAACTAGGTATAATACTAATTGAAAAAAAACATATATTTTAATATTTTATTGTAATTATAATATGTACTTTATTGCAATGTACTTTAACGCAAGTCGTAGTGAAATACTTTTTTGCGTTAAAGTACATATTGCAATGTACTTTAACGCAAAAAGTATTTCACTACGACCTCAAATCATCGAGTTTTTTTTTTTAAATTACACAATGTCATAGGATTTTAGGATGTAGCTATGCCTTGTTTGAACAAATTAATTCTATATAGAAAAAATGACTAGATAATTAGTAATTACTAATTACAAATTAGTAATTGAATTAGGATGTGAATTATAAAACTAGTTTAGCTTATCATCAACATAATCAAGTCTAAACTTTAAAATTATATTATAAGCAAATATCGTCATGGCAGTCGGCAAATTTTTGAAAATGAGGATTTTTTTTTTTTTTTTAGTTGGAAAAAGTTGTAATGGCACCCCCCCCACCCCCCCCCCCCTACGTGACACCTTCTCGCGCCGGCCCTGACAATAGATTTAAAATACTTAAATTAAAAAGCAAAATATAAAATGCTTCACGGAGACAAACTATAAACATTAATGATAAAAAATCAAATTGAGATCAAAAAGACCAAAACAAATCAAATATACAACATAGTATATTGTTAAAAAAAATTACAAATCAAGAAAAAAAAATTACAAATTAAGAAAAAAAAAATTACAAGTTAAGAAAAAAAAAAATTACAAAAATAAAAAAAAAGTCATTGACATTAAGCAACAGTCTTATTCGATTCGCTTCGTCAATAGAATGTTGAACATTTACTAAAAATTTTCCAAATTAAAATCTATAAACTCATCAATAACAGGCAGATTGTAATCGGCCAGCGTTTTACCACTTGGATTAATGATCTTTTCAATTTTCACTTGGATTAATGATCTTTTCAATTTGCTTGTTCAGCTATTAGAAATGGGACTGAGCAGTGAATGAAATCTTCTATAATAAAAGCTTTGTATGTATCCCAGAGATGTAAAGGATTGTCAGGTTCATAAAATGTCAAAATTATTGAAAGCAATTGTTTAATTTGTTTTGGCATATAGTTAAAACCACATCTAAAAGAGTATTCTGCCATTCAGTGTTGTCTTGCAACAAACCTTTTAAAACACATGCTTCACGAAATGTTTCAAGAACAATACTATTTACAGTACGCACATCTTCCCAAGATGTTGCTCCTTTTGCCTGCAAAAGTAAGTCATAGAAAAAATAATTCTCCAGTTGGATTATATTATACATTTTTACTATCACCTTATTACCACCCCTTTGTCTAACCTTCCATTTACAATGTTTATCGTCAAATATAAAGTGATAAGGAATGTCTACATACGAATAGCAATGTGCTCTTTCATTTTCAGTATTTAACTTAAACCATGCTGTAAGGTGCGTACCACGTTGCGCTGCACGATCTAAAGCCATTTGTTCTGCTCATTCTCTAAAATAGACTAATTGATTCTTAAGTAGATGAACTTTAAGACGTATAATATTATGTGGCATATGACTTATTGGATACTCGAAAATTCGCCACAATGCTTCAGGTGAACTAACATAACGACAATCTGAAAAAGTGTTTTCTTCATCATGATTAATTTGTTCGTTAATTAAAATATTGGCACAGTCGTGACCCTTGTATATGCACAGTCGTGACCCTTGTATATACAAATATTTAACAGTCTTAACAGACATGAATGCTTCAACAAAAATGTGAGCTTGATATTTCTTTGATAACCATGGATTGTAAGGTACCTACAATTATCTACATTGTTACCTTTAACATTGTTACCTTTAACATTGATAACCAAACCATTATCACGACGTCTATAGCGTGGATAACCATTATGAACTGCTACTGTGTTAGTATTAAATTCTTTAGGATAATTTTTGCTGTACACTCCATTTTTCATGCAGGAAGAATTTGGATTCAGTATGCCACACGGACCGTGAATCATGCAAGTTTTAACAACGTCATATAGATCAGGATTAACAATCGGATCTGGAATTTCTGCAGATATTAAATTATTGATATCATGTGCTGTTTCAAGCTTATCATCAGTTGCAAAGTGAAGTAAAATATGAACATGTGGCAAACCACACTTTTGAAATTCAATAACTGAACATGTGTTACAACTTTCCCTTATACACCGTGCTTAAAAATATCATTGAGAAGTTTATTTAATTTGAGTTTAAATACTCGAGTACCCAAGTCAGGTCTATCACTTGCTGTCTGACCTGGATATAAATTTTCAGCTTTTTCGCGCCATTTTGGGTTTTTGCTAGTGAAAGTAATAAAAAGATCTGGTTAACCATACTTTTAAATTATAGCTTTTGGTAATATTTTTAATTTCTCTTAAGGCTCTAGAATTTCCTACATAAGTTGATGGCAAAATTAAAAACACGCTTTGGTCTTACATTATGATCGTTTTCAAGGTTGTTTACATGTTCGTGTAAGGCATCATACTGCTTGCTTCTTAGTTTGTTTTGGTTATTTCTGGTGAAAGCAAAGCGCTGGCCTTCAATTTTAACATACGCATCAACAGCATATTGCTAAAACAGTTTTTTGCCATAAAAGAGTGAAGAAAAAAATTGTCTTACTGAAAGTTTATAATTGCAAAACTGAGATAATGTAACATGATTTCTAACCAATGTAGCACGTTCATGCTTGTGAACCAATTGATTATGCTAACCAACATAACCCCCTCCCCTCTTGGAAAGAATAGAGGGTAAAACATAGGATTTAAGTTGGCAGACATACTTGATATTTAAGAGGATGACCTCTTGGGTAAATACAATTTCCCTGGAAGTAGGTGGTGCATCATCTTCACCAACAAATACAACTACAACTTCATTATGTGAAGGGAGATCATAACAACGTCTATCTTGCCCTTCAATTAAAGATATTTTCACCACTGACACTGAGCGACCTTCTATAGCTGCTCAACGAATTTCTTCATCTTCCACTTCAACCATGTTTTTAAATGCAAGAACAAATGGGTTCATTTTCCTAAGAATAGTTTACAATCGAAACATTAAATAATTTAAGCAAAGATCATTAACGTTGTTGCAATTTAAGCAAAGATCAACGTTGTTGCATTCTAAAATTTACTGCTGCAAGTGGATCATAAATGTATAATTGACAATATGTCGGCCGAACATCTTGATTTGGCCTAAGATTACCAATACAACGAAAAACTTGAACACATACTCTAAAACATGGTGGCCCATGATTCATCGGTTGATTAAAAGGAAGTAAAAGACAGTTTATTAGTTTAAAAGGAAGTAAAAGACAGGCATTATAATTCCAAATATATTTTAAAAAATTAAGATTGGCATTTCCATCAGCATAATTTCATTTAAATAAATCTTGTAAATCTTGTGGAAATGGTGAAGGTCGCGACAAAACTACCTTTCCATATTAATATTTCCATTACATAAAAAATGCGTTTTATTTCTTTGCACCACAATGCTGACAAATATTATTTATTTCTCCTAAATAATTATAATCTGGAATAGTATTACTTCTTGCTATACAATGCATTCTCTCGTATCTAGCAGCATATCTAGCATTTTGTCAATTATTAATTTCATCTCACCTAAGCCTATTTCTTTCATTTCTGCGACGAATATTTTTTAACTCACTTAAGGTGGTACATTCCCATTAATTTCGAAATTTTTCAGAAAAAATCAATTTTTTGAAAATTGGTTTTTTAACTTTAAAGTTTTTCATAGAATAATATTATTATTTATTTTTTTAATAAATAAATAAGGAAGTGTGTACAATTATGTGTTTTGTGGCGATAGTAGATTGAGAAGTCCGTAGCAACGCCATAGCAACGCATTTTAAAACAAAAAAATTTAAACTTGCTCAAGCTTATCAACATCAAAAACTCTTTTTTACTGCAGCTTCTTGTTTGTTTTTTGCTTCATGTTTATTTTAAAAGCTATAACTTGAACTACTCATGCGAACATGTATCAAAATATAGTGCTTGCATGCTGTTTTAGTTTGTTAATGTTCTTATAAATAAATAGCTAAATAAGATATGGGACGTTCTATTGCTCGAACTAAAAAAAGAAAGTTTTCTTGTAATCAACACCTAAAATCTTCAAAGTTTATTCAGCTTGATTCATCAATTTCTGATCCAAGTTTATCAGCAAGCTCTAGAAAACTAGTAAACACTGAAATATCTGGAAGTCAAAAAAATTACAATATCATTATTAACTTTAATATTTTAAAACTAATGGTTAGTGAGTTTAAATGCCCTAAATGTGGAAATGAAGTTTGTTTGGAAAATGACTTAAAAAGCAAGAAAGGTTTTTGTTTTTACTTAACTTTACAGTGCCTTTGTTGCCCATTTAGCAAAGGATGGCACACGTCTCAGTTTTCAACTAAAAAATTTAAAGTACTCCAGGTGTTCCTACTGCATCAGTTAATTTTCAAGTTGTTACTGCTTTTCGTGAAATTGGTAAAGGTTATCAATCTATATGCAAATTTGCTGCAGTAATGAACATGCCATCTCCTATGAATTTTAAAAATTATAGTGCAATTAATAACAACTTGTTAAATATTTATAATGAAGTTGCTTCTGAAAGTATGTCAAGTGCTGCCAATGAAACCAAAGATATTATTTCTAATTCAAGCAATGTTAATGATGTTTCTGCTTGCCAAGTTTCTGTTGATGGTACCTGGCAAAAGAGAGGTCATCAATCTTTAAATGGTATTGTCACTGCAATATCAAGTGAGAATGGAAAATGTATTGATTCAATTTTGTTATATAAGTTCTGCAAAGCTTGTAGTTATTGGAACAAAAAAAAGTCAACACCAGGTTATCAAAGCTGGAAAATAAATCATGTTTGTGAAGCTAACCACAATAAATCATCAGGATCCATGGAAGCTTCTGGTGCTGTTTCAATTTTTCAACGGTCAATTGAAAAGCATAGTTTGAGATATGAAGGCTATATTGGAGACGGTGACAGCTCAGCATATAGTGATGTTGTTGCAAGTAATCCATATCCAGGTTTTGAAATAAACAGACTTTATTGTGTTGGACATTACCAAAAGAGACTTGGAAATCGTGCGCGTAACCTTAGAGTTACACTTAAAGGTCAGTTTCTTTCAGATGGAAAAAGAATAAATGGAAAAGGTCGTCTGACAGATAAAGCCATAAATACGCTTCAAAATTATTTTGGTATGGCTATCCGTCAAAATGTGAATAACCTTTATGCAATGAAAAAAGCTGCTTGGGCTGTTTTATTTCACAACAGTGACATAAGTGAAGAGTCAGAGAGACACAAATTTTGCCCACGAACTAGAACTAGTTGGTGTTTGTGGCAGAGTAATAAAGTAACTGGTGAAACAACATACAAAACCAAATTAAGCTTACCATTAGCAATTAAAGCAGTACTTATGCCTATATTTACAGATTTGACAAATGAAACATTGTTATCAAAATCTTTGCACGGACAAACTCAAAATAACAATTAAATCTGAATGCCTTAATATGGAAAAGATGTCCTAAAGATTTTTTTGTTGGGAAAAAAGTTCTTGAGATAAGTATGAACTCAGCTATTATAGCATTTAATGATGGAAGCACAGCAGTTGAAAAAGTAATTAGTGCTGGAGGTATTGAACCAAGTATGTTTATGCAAGAAGGACTTCGTAAATTGGACCTCATCCGAATTAAAAAAATGAATCACAAATCAAGTGCTAAAGGTAAATTAAGGAGTTTGGTAATGAACCAAAATCACAAATAAATATCATGTATAAGTATGTTTAAAATCTTTTTTTCTTTTTTTTTTTTGTTAAAAATTTTCTTAAATTTATAGAAAATTACTTTTAAAATGTTCTATTCATCTTTAATGCATGATTTTGGTTCATAACCTCTTTGTACCTTTTAGTAACATAATGTGAAAATTTCAGAGTGAAAGGATATATAGAACTGGAGATATCTTGTTTTAAATTACACCCATATTTTGGCAATTCTTATAGAATAAGTGAGGCAAAAGTTGGGCAATCGAGATTTCATTTAAAAAAAAATAATCAGCATACTTTTTTAAACTTGTGTAATGTAGTTTTAATTTTGTATAGATTATTTTAAAGAAATTTTTTAGAATGGGGGTGTACCACCTTAAGGTGGAAAACCCCTAAAAAATTTTTTTAAGTAAATATTAATATTTTATAAATTTAACTTCATATACATAAAGTAAATAACAAAATTAACTGAAAAAACAAAAACCTTTTTTTGGGGGGCAAAATGGTAGCTGTAGCAGGTGCCAAAAACACTAAAATATTGAAAGACCCCGGCCAATGTATCTAAAGGTGTACACAATTTTAACAAAATCTTTTTTGCATACTTGTTACAACAAATTAATTCTGTGATATGAGCGAAGCAGATTTTTCATAATAACTTTTAATAGGCTGATATATATGACCGAAGTACATGTAAAAAATTTGACCGAATTTTATGACTTTGTTAACTTTTTTAAGGACTGGATTCAATTTTTAAAAAAATCTGTCACGCTTAAATCACAGAAGACAATCAAACAAAATTTTATAATATATAAAATTTTAATACTTAAAATTTTAGCTTAACACTACTTTTAGTTATTTAAATATACTGGCCGCTGTCTTAAAAACCCTTTATCTGAGAAAAACAGCTTTTAAAAATGCCAATATAAAAAATTTCAAAATAGTATAAATAAATGTGCAAATCTATATATAATAAAAAAAGTTAATTCTTAAAATGCATCAGTTTGATATGGGTTTTGCTCTTTTTCAAGGGAATTGTCATATTGGCTCTTCTTTTTTCCACAAATTACTTGTCTGCGTTTCTTTATAAGAATAAAACAAAGGACCGCCTGAGAATCCTATAAGATTTGCTCGTTCTGTGTTTTTATATATGGCTAAGTATAATCGCTTTTGATTAATTTTCCATCTAACTATTACTTTCCAGGTCTTAAATTCATTTTTTCTAAAATTAAAACACTAGCTCGTCTACCAATGTTAAAATGGGCAACTGCATCAAAAGTGCCCAATTGAAGATGTGTAAGCAAAACATAATGGCCTTTTGGTATACGCTCCCATATTGTCATGTTAAAAGACTCATTGATATTTTGGGTAAGGCCATGCAGACATTTTTTAAAAAGAATTTCACTACTTAATTCATCATAAATTGGCTTAAGTTTCCAAACAATATATATTGGTAAGCCAGGACCAGGTCTGTGTTGAGGTATGGTTGAGGTATGGTTTACTTTGTCACGATTACACCGACACCAACTATCTGAACCTTCTGGACAGTGGGGATAATGTAAATTTTCATTTTTTTCACGACCACCAAGACCTTTTTCTTTTTTTTTTTAAACTACGTAAACGTGTTCCAACTCTTTTTTGCACATGGACAACACATTCAAGTTTATTTACAAGAACACCTTGATAAACATTTTAACAGCATTATAACTTTTCCTATCACCATCGCCATAGAAATCAGTATATCGTAGATTGTGTTTTTCAATAGATCTACTCCATATTTTGCAGGCTCCCTCTGGCTCCATTCCACCAGGTAGTCCTAGGTAATTAAAAGTACATTTATGTTTATCATGCCATTTTTCATAGGCTAATGGGTTTCCTTTCTTTAGATGTTTTTTATAAAAACATGCTTTACATACCTTTATTTTGAGGAAAAAATATTAAAATCTGAAGTATGTAACATCAAATAGATTTTCATATATACATATATATATATATATATATATATATATATATATATATATATATATATATATATATATATATATATATATATATATATATATATATATATATATATATATATATATACACATATACATGGTCGTGATGACGAAATTTTATTTATTTTTCTAGCAGAAGCACATATTTTATTAGAATTAATAAAATTAAAATCAACTGGTTTCTCCATATTTACATTTACATCCATATCAACATTATTTACAACTAAGTTCTTTTTTACATTAAATATTTTTTT